GGCCCCTGACGTTGGTAAATGTTGTCACACGTTTCCTTTTTAAAGCTGGCTCCTGGTTTTTCTCGTCTTTCTCACCACTTTGTTTCATTCAGCTCGGTCAGCTGTATGACCCCTTGCAGGACCAGTGATTATATAATGCTCATGTAAATGCCAAGGGTGCATACTAACCAGTGACCGTTACACTGACTAATCCCCAAACTGAATATCAGTAATTGACTTGTTGATGTGGAGAGTTTGCTTTTTGTGACAACTCTGTCAGATTTGCAGCATTTGTAGGATTTTGACTGTATGTGACGACCATGCCAGTGTAACTAATGTTGATTTATCAGCAGAAATGAGTCACCGGGGCAGTGGCTGTGTTACTCTTACTCTTACCCTCAGCGATAGCTTTCTGCTTCGGTGTTTAATTACAATGTTATTTAACCTTGGGTTGCAGAGAGCCAGTTAAAAGGCAGAGTAGTAACAGGTAGGCTGCACACCTTTGGCTCTGCAACAAGAATGTGCTTTTATATAGTTTGTCTTAGGGCAAGGGTGGAGAACTGAGCCTGAGAACAGAGCAACAAAACCCACTCTCTGTGTTTCTGAGGGACAACCTGAAGCATTGGAGAAAGTTTAGTTTGCAGGTCTTCTCAGGTATGTTTTTGCTTATTCTTTATAAAGTGTTTCATCATGTTTCTTAGTTTAATCCTAAACTTTATAAGCTTTATATTCAAGCGTTATTACTGGTGCTCTAACTTTAAAATATGTGGTCATATAGTTAGTCAGTAATAGTCTTTGTATTACTATAGTTCATAGGTGTGAACCTTGTGAAAACACAAACCATAAACTAAATAGAATTTTAAACCAGGATCTCTTTGGCTGTGGACTTTTTCTTTTTCACCACACGGCAACATTAACCTGCTGCGTCGAGCTGATGTGCAGGCTGTGTCCTGAGAGGGAGGATTTTGTGAAACACTCCTGCTCTTCTACATTCAAATCAGCTTATGCAGAAAGCAAATGTTGGATAACGATGAAACGCTGTTGGATTTAATCTCCGTCCTGCTTCCCAGGATGCAGCTGCCACGCACAGCACTGAGTCTCTTTGTGAGGAGAATGACCTTCAAAAAAACAAAACATGTTTAAATACATGTTCAGACGTCGACGTGCGAGTCGATCAGATCCAAACGTGTGGTCAGGGGCACCGTGAAGAACATGCTGACATATTCTGCTTATTTCAGACGAAGCTGCTGGCGGATGTCTGAACCCCTCTATCTGATGCTCACGCGAACACTCACCCTCCCTGTTTGACTAACACTGCGTGCCTGAACTGTCTGCTTGAATCTCATCAGCTCAGGTCACACCTATGTGACATGCAACACAGCAGAAAAGCCTGGCCATGTCAGATACAAGCTGAACTTCCTCAGTCAAGCACAGTTTAATATCTCTGATTGTTTTAGCCAACATCCAGACTTTTCGTTTCACATTATGC